TCCGAATTCCACCATCACACATTCATTTCTTTGGCCAGAAAGTTTTTATGTCTCTTGAGTCTTAAGTGCTGAGGCTTTTATCCACCCCACCTGTCTTCCTTTGGGCCTCTCTTGGTTTTGTGGAAGCGTACTTGTTATAAACTGGAGGAGGAAGTGGCAAAGGTATGAAGTGAATTCTGGACAGGTTTTAAGAGTCTTGTCTTGAAAGTTCCCCAAGGAAATGGCAACCCACTCCAGTGTTCTTGCCTGGAGAATCCCGGGGATGGGGTCGCACAGAGTCGGACACGACTGAGGTGACTTAGCAGTAGCAGCAGCAGCATCTCTACTCAGAGTCAGCAATTTGACCTTCTTGTACTTCTTTTCCTTGTTGGTTTTAGTATCAATGTTATGCTAGTCTTATAAAACAAGGAGGAGAGTGTTCCTATTTTACCCACAAGAGTTCCTGTGAGATTGCTGTTTACTGCCCTGGCTTTTTGGAAGAATTGATTGGCAAAACAAGTAGGTTTCATTGTGGGGAGGCTTTTCATTTCAGATTTAATTTTTTTCATGCAAATAAAAATTTCTGATTTTGTATGTCTTCTTGGGTCTATTTAGGTAAAGCATTTCCCGCTGCTAGGAATTTAGTGAGGCCAGCAGACTCTGCAATTAGTAAGTGAACTGTGGTTCATAATATCTTTCTTGTCTGCAAGATGGGTTGTCTCCCCTTTTAAAAATCCTTGATATTTGGTGATTTGTGCTCTGTCTCGTTTTCTTAATCAGTTTCTCTAGGGATTTATCATTTTTATCAATCCTCTCAAAGAGCCAACTTTTGGATTTGTTTTTTTAAAAACATTCATATGGGCTTACTGTTTCCTTATTTTCTGCTCCTTTTTCTTCCATCTGCCTTGTGTGTCATTTGCTGTGCTTCTTTTCTGGTTTGTTGGGATAGAGGCTTAATTGATTTTTAGCCTTCCTTCTTTTCCAGGATATGTGTTTAAGGCTTTAAGTTACCCTGTAAACATAGTTCGCTAGGTCCCACAAGTTTGAATAAGCTAGACCTTCATTATCTTTTATGGAAAAGTATTTCTAATTTTCGTTGTGTTTTTAAAAATTATTATTCATGAAGTTCTTCAAGAAGTATGTCATTTAACTTCCCAATGTTTGGGGAGGTTTTTCTAGTGACCCTTTTTTGATTTCTAGCTTAATTCCATGAAGAGCCCTGTCTTAGGCTTTTTGGGCTACAGTTACAAATACTGTAGACTAGCTGCTAGACAAGAGAAAGTTGTTTCTTAGAGTACTGGAGGCTGGGCAGTCCCAAGATCACCAGCAGGCGCCACGTCTGGTGAGGCCTGTTTCCTGGTTCCTAGACTGCCTGCTGCTTCTCGCTGTTGTCGCAGCACGGGAGCCCACTCCCTCCTGACCTGACCCCTCCCAGAGTCCCTGCCTCCTAGTATCATCTCCACGTGCGGGGTGAAGTTTGAGGGCACATAAACCGTCAGCCCATTGCAATCCCTAAGCATACCCTGCATTAGTTCAGTCCTTTGAAATAATTCGAGCTTTCCTAGTGGCCCAGTATATATTCATTTTGTTATATGTTCCTGGGGCCCTTGAAAATCATGCGTGTCAGGGGGAATGCAGTGTTGCCTGCATATCAGTTAGATGAGGTTTGTCAATCATATAATTCAGATTTCGGTAGCCACGTTGAGTAAAGCAGAAGCCGGTGAAATCATCTGTAATACACTTTATTTTAACGCACACAAAATGGTATCCTTTCCGTGTGTGATCAGCATGATGAAACCAAATGAATCAGTTTCTGTTCTTTTCTTCACGCTGCATCTTTAAACTCCAGTGCGTGTCTCACGTATGCAGCACACCTCAGTGTAGCGCCGGCCGCACTTCAGGTACTTCATGGCTGCAGGTGACCACGCACCAGGGAGCCCAGTTCCGTGAGAGATGTGTCTTTAACGTCTGCCATTGCGATTATGAACCTGGCTGTTACTCCTTTTCTATTTCTGTCAGTTTTTATGTATTGATATTTTGAAATTATGTTATTAGATACATTCAAATTTAGAATCCTCATCTTTTTGGTAGACTGAACTTGTTTCAGTATGAGATGCTTCTTTTTATCGCTAGGAATGCTTCTTACTCTAGGCACTGTTTGACAGTGGTATTGCCACATGAGTTTTCTGTCCTGTTTGCCTGGGTATCTTTTCGTTTCACCTGTCTGTGGTCTTCCATCTTCACATGTACCTCTGTGAATAGTGTAGAGTTTTCATGTTAATCAGTTTGACACTTATTATCTTTCCATGAGAACCTTTGCTCTGTTTATAGTTTGATGTTCCCCTGTGCAGACACCATGTTGCTGTTTGTTTTCTGTCTGTCCCGCCTCTTCTGTGTCCTTGTCTCAGGCCTTCTGTTAGAAGGATGAGGTGTTTTTCTAGTTCTTACCCCTCTGCCAGTCGGTTGGGTGAACATGCGCAGATACGGCATGTGGTTTACATTTAAGTCTAACTTAGTGCTTTTACTGCCTCCCTGACACGACTGCTTCCTCCCTGTCACTGTTATCCTTTAAAACTGCAGATATATTTTTGGTGTTATCATGATTGTAGAGTTAATGTGTACTGTCACAGTTACCTCACTGTTGGTCTTTACTTGTTTTTTATATTTCAGTCAGAGACTACTTTTCTTTTTCCCAAAGCACGGCCTTAATATTTTTTTAGTTCGTGTCTGTGGGTGATGAGTTGTCTCATTTCCACTTGCCCTAAAAGTCTTTATTTTCTTTCCCTCTGGAAGCGTGTTTTTGTTGGATGTAGAACTCCAGGTTGGTGGTGTTTGTTTTCAGCATTGTACAGGCGCCTGTCAATGATCTCCTGACTTCATTGTTCTTGAAAAGTCAGCTCTCGGCATTGCTGTGCCACTAAAAGCCACACTTTTTTTCCTCTGAGCACTGGAACATTTTCTTCTCTCCTCAAACACCTGCAGAGCTGCTGAAACCAATGTGTGCTTTTCATTTCTGAGTCAATACTCTGATTCTTGAGCCACCTCTTGCCCCCGTCCCTGCCAGTCAGTTCAGTCACTCAGTGTCTGACCCGTTGCGACTCCATGCACTGCAGCACGCCAGGCTTCTCTGTCCATCACCAGGTCCCGGAGCCTGCTGAAGCTCATGTCCATTGAGTCGGTGATTCCATCCAACCGTCTGATCTTCTGTCGTCCCCTTCTCCTCCCGCCTTCAGTCTTCTCCAGCATCAGGTTCTTTTCCAATGAGTCAGTTTTTCACATCAGGTGGCCAAAGTATTGGAGCTTCAGCATCAGTCTTTCCAGTGAATATTGAGGACTGATTTGCTTTAGGATGGACTGGTTGGATCTCCTTGCAGTCCACGGGGCTGTCAAGAGTCTTCTCCAACATTACAGTCCAGAAGCATTGATTCTTTGGCATTCAGCTTTCTTCATGTGCCAATTCTCACATCCATACACGACTACTGGAAAAAACATAGCTTTGACTAAATGAACCTTTGTCGGCAAAGTAATGTCTCTGCTTTTTAACATGCTGCCTAGGTTCATCATAGCTTTCCTTCCAAGGAGCAAGTGTCTTTTAATTTCACCATCTGCAGTAAGTTTGGAGCCCAAGAAAATAAAGTCTGTCACTGTTTCCATTGTTTCCCCATTTATTTGCAATGAAGTGATGGAGCCGGATGCCATGATCTTCATTTTTTGAATGCTGAGTTTTATGCCAGCTTTTTCACTCTCCTCTTACACTTTCATCAAGAGGCTCTTTATTTCCAACCCCTGGAGGCATTTCTTATTCCCCTTTCTGTCTTTTCTCCCTCATAAGGGGACCCATTTATAGCTTTTAACAACATAGTTTAACAACGGGCTCTTTCGATATATTCTATACTTTTTTCCCTCTTATATATATATATTGAAATGATCCATCCTTCAGTTCACTGATCCTCTCTTCAGCTACGTCCAATTTGATGTTAAGCCCAGAGACTGAGTTCCTAAACTCAGTCACTATTATTTTAAAGTTGTAGCATTGGTGTTGAGTCTCAGAAAATTTTCCTTTGGTCTAGTATATATTTGAACTCATGACCTTTGCATCTGATGCCTCTAGCATACCTCTGATATGCTGATATGCATCTGATACCTCTGGATCTGTTTCAGTTCTTTTTCTCTTGGTCCTATTTCTTGTTACACTCTTTTTTGCTTTGTTGGTTGCATGTTGGGCACTACGTTTGGAAAACCCTAGAGGTGCTGAGTGATGCTGTCTTCTCCAGGCTTTCCTCTGACGTCGACCTCTCGTGGGGACAGAGCTCTGTGTTTGCTCAGGGCCTGAGTGACTTGAGGCTGGGGGGTCCTTGTGAGCTGAGTCTCAGCAGCCTTCACCCACCTTCCCCGCCCCCCCCCCACCCGACCCCAGGGAGGAGCCCTCCAGCGTTTCCGTCTGGAAGCCTGGGGTGCCTCCCAGGGCCCCTCCTTCTCGGCAGGTCCTGAATCCCACCGTCCACCTCCTGAAGACCACGAGGTGATTGATACTCAGCGCTCAGCCAGTTTGGGCAGGGTGTTGGGTACGTTTTCTGTGCCTAACTTTTCTTAGGGAGACTGGTCTCTACCATTGGGACTGACTTGTCAGGCCTGCGCTCATATGTTTGTCTTCTCAGCCTGAGGAGCCATCCAGAGCTGTGTTAGCCAGTCCCCTCTGCTGGACTTTCCCCCGCCTTTTCTTCGCAGAGTCAGCTTTGTTCAGATGTCCCAGGGGAAGGAGCGGCCTCTCAGTCTCCAGCTGCCTCACTGGGCTTCCCTTTTGCTTGAGATCTTGGATTGTGGCTGCCTGAGGACCTCTTTTAAAATGTATTTAGCTTTTCTAGCTCTGGGTAGGCTGACCTACAAGCTGCTTGCATCTGTAACTGGAAGTGGGGAAGCCCTGGGTGTCTTCTCTCATCTGAAGCCACATGTAAGCATCACACTAATTATACTGATCATCTTTATTTGATACCGGGAAAACAAGAGGCAGGGGTCCTTGCTTAGTACCCACGGTTGTGTTTCGGATCAGAATCCCCAGCTTGCCCATGCTCTTTCAGTGCCACTTGAATTTGGGAAGAAGGTGGAGCAAGCAGCCCACGCAGCCTGGGGACGGAGGACCTGGTGTGCCCGCTTCCCCTGCGCCTGCCAGCCCAGGGCAGGCCTTGTGATGACGGGCTGCTGGTGGTGGAGGAGAAGCTGAGGACGGCGGGGCTGCGTGACCTGTTGTGTGATGGGGTCACATGTGGGTTTTCTTTTTCAGTTTGAAAAATGACTGCTTTTAATCTTCCCTCCAGTTTCACTTTAAGGTTGAAAATGAAGATTTTATTCTTCAAGCTGAGCACAGTGATTTTACAGTCTTTTTGAAAGCCACAGTTGAGGTTTTCAAAAGACGTCTCAGAGAACTGCAGTAGATAAAGCAAAAAAAAGAGAACGCGTTCAGGGTGCACTGAGGGTGGGACCCCAGACTGTACCCTGTCTCCCCAGAGTCTGTCATTGCTGAGACAGGCGGATATAGGACCCCAAGCACCCCGGGGACTGAGTCCTCAAGTGACCGCAGAGGACCGGGCTGAGCCAGGAGCAGTGTGGGCTATGCCCTGCTGCGTGGAGAGCTGCGAGGCTGGGAGTGGGGCCAGGAGGGGGGTGGGAGACTTGGGCGTGGAGGGCGGGGCAGCCCCTGGAGGGATCTGGGAGGCGCTGGCTGTCACAGCTTGAGGCAGGGCCACCCCTGAACCACCACCGGGCAGCCCCCATGGGGCCAAGTCGTCTGGCGGCCCAGGGTCGAAGTTAAGAGGGCGAGCTCACAGCAGGTTGAATGAACCCCTGTCCCCACTGTGGGTTCATTGTGAGTGCCCGGAGCGAGGTTGGTCAAGCCCTTGCTGAGCTCAAGTGAGGGAGCCAGTCAGGGAGGACCAAGCTCAGGGTAAGAGTGAGGGGCAGCCAGCGCGGGGAGTCCTCCTCAGCCATGTGGGTTCTGGGCACACCCTTGAGTTCAGGGGTGCCCTTTCAGTAGCCTCACTGCAGGCTTGTTTCCGGGGTGGAGGAAGCAGAAGCCCACTTAGAAGACGTGCTCATCCCTAGCGGTGGTGGTTTCTGAAGCAGTTTACACTGTTCGGTTTGACTGTGACCCAGTGACCTTGCAGGGTGACGTTTGATGGTGGGCCTGAGCTGTGGGCACGGCCTTCCTTCTGCCGCACCCAACACACACCTGGCATCTTTTTGGCAGCCCCTCCCCACTCTCTGTACCCCTGATGGTGGGCCGGAGCCCAGCCCCCCTGTTACCATGGAGCCCTTTGTGACAGAGTGGCTTCCATGATCCGGGCTCCCGGGAGACATGCTGGAGGCAGAGCCTTCGTGCCATTTCTTCTTGAGACAGCGGAGCTGGTGGTCATAGTGTGACAGCAGTGTGTGTGAGAGTGGTGGTCATAGTGTGAGATCGGTGGTGATACCTCAGGCACTTAGGGATCTGCCTGAGAAACAGCAGGTGCCCCCAAGTGGGGGGCTGCCCCCATCCGCGAGGATGGGTCGCAGAAGGGCCATCCTATGGGCACTTTTCCCATGCTGCAACCCCAAGAAAAAGGCCAAGACAAGAAATAAGTTGGCCTCATCCCAAGTCGTGGAAGCAGAGTGCCCGGAGGTGAGAGCAGCCGGGGGATGGGCCCGTCGGGTTGGCCCTCACCCGGCAAAGAGTTGGGGTTGTGTTTTACTTTGTTCGCATGCTCGTGGGCCCTGCCGGCCAAGGCGTTCTGGCCTCCTGGGCAGGATGGACCCCAGCAGGTTGACCTTGTAAGAGGCCGTGCAGATGCTGCATGGACGATGGGCGGGGGCCCCACAGGAAGGGGAACAGGGGCTGGAGGAGTCACTGGGGCACGTGGACTGAGCTCTAGAGTCGGTCCTTGGAGCGGAAAGGAAAGGCTAAGCCCCTTAAAGTCTCTCTTCTTCCAAACAAGGGATCCACTGGCTGGAGGAGTCTCTGGGGCGTGTGGGTCGAGCTAGAGAGTCAGTCCTTGGAGCAGAAAGGCTGAGCCCCTTAACGTCTGCCATCGTCCAAAGCCCAGAGCAGTGTGCCCGGTGTTCTAATGACGGGTGCCTACTGCTCCTGTGTATGACACACACCCTCACAGCCTCACATGTCTACTACATGCCTCTTACAAAGTGCTGGGCAGTGCTCTAGGTGCTGAATACTTAGTATGTAGTAGGGGAGACATAGCCCAGGATTTTTGTATTTGTGCAAAGAACAATAGAAGAATGAAAGAGTCCGTGTGGTTCGGTTTGAGCAAGTTCACCACGTGGACGGCCCCGCGTATGTGCATATTGTGATAAAATACATATAACATGAATTTACCATTTTAAGCAGTTCGTTGAATGACTGGGTGACTTCAGTGGAGTCAGGCTAACAGACGGCCTTGGGGTGCCATCAGCCTCTTTCCCAGAGGAACACTCCAAAGCCTGGTGGCCTTGAAGACCTTACCTTTCTTCTTCACTCTCCCCAGGGGCTCTCGGTCACTTGTCTGTGTGTCGTTTAAGAATCTCTTTATCCACTTTGTTCTTAAGTGTATGTTTAGAAAAGTCTCTCAGACTTCCCTGCGTCTTGAGAAGGCAGGCTTGGATTCCGGGTTCTCCCCTACCGCACAGGCTTGGATTCCGGGTTCTCCCCTGCCACGTGCCTGCCAGGTCGAGGTGGAGGCTGCAGGCCAGTCTGAGTTCTAGGGGTCTGTGTGGTCTTGGGGTCAGTGGATCCCCTCTTCTCCAGAGGGGCAGGGAGATCGTTTGAGTGGAGCCTGGAAAGACTGGACAGTGTCAGTCTTCAGAGTCTCGCTCTCTTTAACATTTGTGTTTGCATTTAGTTACTTCCTCATTGACCTGTTTTCTAGGAGTTTGCCACATGTCAACATCTAAAGGCATGCAGGGAGCAGCTTCTTACAAGAGAAGCAGAAATCGCGGAACTAAAAGCTGAAAGGAACAACACCAGGGTCAGTAGGCGGAGTCTCACGTGTTGACCTGTGCCCTGCGGGGGTCACCGCTGGGCTCCATGTTGCTGTCTTGAAAGTCTGTCTGGTTTTCAAGTCATTTTTCACATCTTCTCACTGAGCAGACCGAGGTGGATCAGTTCGGGGTTCTCATACGTTGCTTCAAATTGATGATGAGAGCTAACGTAATTTTAGTACATTTGAGGGGAGAGTTCTCTTAGCTTCCATTTTTGTCCATGCTGCAGTTTGTGTGGGATCTTAGTTCCCACACAGGGATTAAAACCCATGAGCCCTGCAGAAGTGTGGAGTGTTAACTCCTGGGCCACTGGGGAAGTCCACTCTAACTTTAGACTGAACTGGCGGGATTCCGACATGCCTTAGCATGGTTTCGGTCTTAGCGTGAGGCTGAGAGGCGTTCTGGGCCCTGAATTCAAGTGTGAGGTTGAAGGTGCTCCTTTGGCCCCACCTTGCAGCTGCTGCTGGAACACCTGGAGCTCCTGGTTTCCCGGTACGTGCCGTCCCTCCGGATGATGGCGGGCACGCAGCTGGCGCAGTCCCCAGCCAGCATGACCAGCGAGTTGGAGGTCCTCAGGGCACTGAGATTGCTCTTCGAGCACCACAAGGCCCTGGACGAGAAGGTACCAGCCACGTGGCCGTCCTGGATTTGTACACTTGCTGCCTGGTTAGGTGGACGATGTGTGTGTTTATGGAACTAGTTGACTTTTGAGCTTCTTGAATTCTTGTAAATACAGTTTTTCTGTAAGAACTCAGAGTTTTATATGGTTAAAAAGCATTGCCTGTGTACATGCTCAGACATGTCTGAGTTTTGCGACCCTGTGGACCGTAGACCACCACGCTCCTCTCTTCATGGGGCTTCCCAGGCAAGAATACTAGAGTGGGTGGCCATCTTCTACTCCAGGGGATCTTCCCGACCCAGGGATCGAACCTGCCCTCTCACATTGGCAGGCAGATTCTTTACCACTGAGCCACCTGGGAAGCCCCCAGTTAAAAAGTATTAGTTGGCATAAATGTCTCAAGGTTTATTTTATTCTGTTTGTCAATTTGCAATTAAAAACTGGGTAATACAGTTCTTTTAGGATAAATTCTGAAACTTAGAATTTAAAGCCGTTAGTAAGCAGATTTTCTTCACCTTAAGGTCAATGAGAGACATTAAAGGTGTTCTGTTACAGTAACCATGGAATCAGGTGAGGGTACAATAAGAAGTGCACTAAACGTATGTACACAGATCAACACACAGTGATTCGGCCCCTTTTATTTCAGTTGAGAGAGGAACTACGACGAGCACTTCAAAGGTGTAGTTCCTTAGAAGAGGAATTAAGTACCAAACACAGAGAGGTAAGTTTGATCAGTCATCGTGTAATTTCAGTTAAGGATTCGTCATTTGTATACTTTCATTTTCACAAAGTATGAAGGCTGTGGTGGTGGACATCAGATGTTATTTATCTTTGAAAAGGGGCGCAAGGGCCTGAGGAATAACCCCAGGGAGGGCCGGGCCTAGAGCCAGGGAGAGACATGTTGGAGGGCGGCGGGCTGGGCAAGGACGGGAGTGGGCTTGGTGACATGGGCTCCTCCAGCTCCCGGGGAGCTGCCCGGTAGGGCAGGGCACAGCGCCTGCTTGCAGAGAGCTGGAGAGCAGGTGGGACAGGGACAGCAGAAGCCGCTCCCAGGCAGCCCTCAGAGACCCCCAGTGGGCATTGCAGGGAGCCCTGGAGGAGGAGTCCCCTGGTTCCTGTTGAGGCATCGGAAGGTGGGAGAAGCGAGAGGATGTGCTGACCGGGCTGATGGGGGTGAACCCATAGGCAGCTGGTGCGCTGGAGGGGAGCAGGGATGATGGCAGGTGGTCCTGCAGCCAGTGAAGGGGGTGGCCCAGCCCTGGGGAGGGGTCGTGAGGAAGACGGGGTGAGGGCTCTGGCCACGGGACTGGTAGCTGGCAGCCAGCACCTCGAGGCTGCCCCTCGGTTGCTTTGAGGTCCTGTCTGGGAAAGAAGGCAGGACCTGGGTTGAGAGTCGGACAGGGGGGAGATTTGCAGAGAGAAGGGTGTGAGAGCAGGAGGGCGGCACGGGGCCCAGCAGGCACTCTCCCGTGCATCTCTGATGGCACAGCCGCCCTTGCGGTGCGAGGGGCTCTCCCCCAGAAGAGGCCGAGTGCCTGTGCCCCGAGAGGACAGCCGCGGGGGCTGGCCCTCCAGTCCCCTGGCTGCCCTGCTCGCTCCTGTTTGTGAGTGTGCAGATCAGCCTGGAACACGTAGGGCTGGGAACCTGTGAGGATGGCACTCCTCGGGGAACTAGTACAAGTGATGACCGCTGAGGCAGACCTATTGGCTACGGAGCTGAAGGATTTTTTCTTTCATGTTTTCCTTCAGCCTGCCTGCTGGAGGCATGGATGTATGTTTTTAATTTTGCGTTTTTGTTTCTGACTCCATCGGCCCACCCTTTTGAATAACCTCATAGGATTTCCTTCCGACCACGCTAAGAACTGAGAGTGACCAGGACATCTAGGAACTGGATTCTCCTCCTGCCCGTTTCTTCAGTACTGCTCGCTTAAGAGATGGCAGTGTCTCCTAAGCATGGCCGCTTATCCAAAGTCGGGCTTCCATGTAAAATTGTGTTCGGTTCCTGATAGACGTGAGCTGTCCTAAATGTCGCTGACAAGGCGTGGTCCTCTCATGCCCAGGTGCAGAGCCAGAGGGAGCAGGGCTGGGAGTCCGCACAGCAGGCCCACATGGTGGCCACCGTGGCCGAGGACTTCGAGACTGATGAGGATGTGTCTGATGGCGAAGGTGATGGGCCCACCCTCTTCAGTTTGGCCGGTCAGCTGCTGCCCAGTGGGCAGGCAGATGCCGACACGCTGCCTGTGAAACTTCAGGAGCACCTGGACGCCATCAACAAACAGATACGGTGGGTGCGCCTGAACTTGGCTCCCCAGAAACTGGGCTTCTCTGAGGAGCTGTCTTCTCCTACGAGAAGTCTGAGTGTTCCATAGTGAGAAAACTGACTTCAGGCCTGCTTCAAGGATTTTCGGTTCTCAGACCACCCTTGATGAGAGAGCTCAGACAGGCAGGCTGTTCTGTCCACAGCTGGTGTCAGCACTCTCTGGGGGGGCGTTGTGTGGTGTCCCCCCCAGCTCTGAGCCCGAAGGTGGGTGAGGTACCGACGCAGTGTCCTCTGTGTCCCATGTGCCCTCGAGCACTGAGAGTTCACCCTCCCATGTCCATCGGAGACTCCCACGTTCTGGTGAAAAGCTACCTGTATCAGAAAAGCAGGGGTTTGGGGGTTGGCAAATTCCCATTCAGATCTGGATTGTCCTTTTCAAGTTAATACAGTGTGAAGATTGGCTTGTTGTAAGACAGTGGTTTAAGGACATATGTTTGAGTTTTACTCATCTCATCAGGATATTTCAGATGTTTTCTTTAGACACTGTCTTGGCAGTGGTAGCAGTTTACAACACGGGATAGAAGGCAAAGGCCCGCCTCGTGGTGAGCAGCTGTTTTGGTTATAGAGAGTTCCCGATTTGCAGTGGCAAAGACTTGAGGCCCTGACGTGCACCTCTGCCCTGAGAGCAGGGAAGGTGAAGGTTGTCAACTTCAGGTATCTCCTCACAGGGAGAGAGTCGCCACTCGGGCCCCATCAGAATGTTAGCGTAAAGGAGTCAAATCAAACGTGAATGACCAGGGGCCAGTTTGTAAGACTCAGTGCTCAGTTATTCCAAGTTTGAGAATATTCAAAAGAGGGAAAGTCGAACCTTTTAGCCGAGATGTGAAATGAGCAGATGTTCCCGGAATTGGCTCATCGTGACACAGAATGCCAGCCCAAATTTGCTGTCCAGACAGGTTCCTGTGCTGACAGAGGCAGCTGACGAGTTTTGCTCTCCTTTAGGTGGATCCAAGAGGAAGAGAGCACGGAGCAGCGGGTCGAGGAGACTGAGAGCAGGCCGGGCAGGGCGCGCTTAGGCAGCCTTCGGCGTTTTGAGTCCCTGAGCTCCCTCAACCTGTGTCCTGCCTCCTCACTTGCCAGCTCCTGCCCGCCCAGCAGGGCGCCCTCCCCACCCCGAAGGAGGCGGCACAGCCTGGCGCACGAGGGAGACCGGCTGGGCGTCATGACTGCGGTATGTGTCTGCCTCCTCCCTGCCACATCCCTCCCCGAGCACACTGTTTTTCTTTCTTTGTTTTTTCTCTTTATCCCCAGAGGAAAATCAGGTACATTTACTACGCTCAGAGGGCTAAGAGTTTTAAAACTGCCTGGTATTTAATCATTCCATAATGGCACAGGGACCAATTAGTGTTGATATTTGGACCACCGGCTTAGCGGGCCATCATGAACTCAGCCAGAGCCTGCCTCTGGAACGGTGGGCCTGGCCTGTGCTGGGCACGACAGCGGCAGGGAAGTTTCTATCGTCAGGGAGCAGACAGCCTCGTGAAAGTTACCACAGGCAGCCCTCATGGCGAGTGAAAGGCGGGCAGCACATGTTCCACCGGGGTCGCCTGGCTGCAGGGTGCAGGGCATGTGGTGGCAACAAAACCAAGAATCTGAACTGGTCCGCTTGCTGATGGGCCTTGCCGCACGCGCTCAGGCCAGCTGTGCGCGTGAAACCAGTTAAAGGCCCGGGGCCCCAGGGCCCCAGGGAAGAAGTCGGGCTGCCTCACTCTTCCGCGTCTCAACACGGGATGACGACCTAGGGCTTCTGGTGACAGAGTGTGCGGCTCTAAAGCACATGTGCCAGCTTTCTTGCCTGTGTAGCCTAGTTTTCTGAGTGCATTGCTGTTTACCCCGTGAATCTCGTGTACAACACTCTGCCTTGAAACGGCACCTGTATTATCTCTTTCTTCTGTTCCCACCCATTTCATGTTAGCTGCGTTGTTAGCATAGAATTAAAATAAATGTGGGTCATTTTAGCTGCATGTGAAGTGGTACCTGGTCCATTTTGTGGTCTTTTGACACACTGCTTTTATACTTTGTATCATTGTCTAAGTCGTTGATATTTA